ACTGTTGTGGCCTCTCCCGTTGCGGAGCACAGGCTCCGGACGTGCAGGCTCAGCAGCCATGGCTCACGGGCCCAGCTGCTCCGCGGCATGTGGGATCTTCTCGGACCGGGGCACGAACCCATGTCCCCTGCATTGGCAGGCGGACTCTCAACCACTGCGCCACCAGGGGAGCCCAAAGAAATGCAAATTTTAAAAGTAAGATAAGGCTATCTCTACCCCCCAAAAAATAGAAAGTCCTCAATTATATTAAGAATTTAAAAACTTCTATATCGCAAAAAGAAAGTTTTTTTGTTTTGTTTTGTTTTGTTTTTTTGCGGTACGCGGGCCTCTCACTGTTGTGGCCTCTCCCGTTGCAGAGCACAGGCTCCGGACGCGCAGGCTCAGCAGCCATGGCTCACCGGCTCAGCCGCTCCGCGGCATTTGGGATCTTCCCGGACCAGGGCACGAACCCGTGTCGCCTGCATCAGCAGGCAGACTCTCAACCACTGTGCCACCAGGGAAGCCCCAAGAAAGTTTTTAATAAAGCTACAAACCAAGAGAAGTTCTTTGTCACACATACAGCCAACAATTAGCATACAAACTATATAAAGAACTGCAAAATATCAATAAGAACAGATCAATAGAAAAATGGACAAAAGACATGAAAAGGCACTTCACAGAAAACATAACAAAAAATATATATATTCAATTTTATTAGGAATGAAATGCAAATTTAAAACAGTATGAAATGCCATCATATACCCGTGAGATTGATAAAAATTTAAACTTTAATGATATCAAGCGTCAGTGAGGATGGAGAATGGGAACTCACACACTGCTAATGAGAATGTATATTGGTAAACAACTGTGCATTATCTAGTGAAGTTGATGAAGCTCATACCCCTTGATGTAGCAATTTCACTTCTAGAACATAAACACCTTAGCCTAAACTCTAGAGAAGCTCAAGAAACTCTCACAGATGTCCATGGGACAGGTTCAAGGATGTCCCTCACAGCGCTGCTTTATATAAATTACAGTACTCCGTTTTAGCAGTGAAAAATG